CATATCCTATAGATCCCACAGACAAAATGCATGTGTCACGTCTTTCCTTTCCCAAGCATTATGAGTTTTAATTTCTCATCATTTAGAAAATATACAATTAAAAGTGTTTTTTTAAAAAATAAAATATACACTTCAACAACTTATTAAATGGCTTGTTTAAAATGATTGCTAAAGCCATAATGTTTTAAGGAAAAGAAACTGTCTTTCCTGATATCCTGTTCCTTGTGTTTTTCCATATTCATTTACGTACATAGTTCTGCATTAAACCTAGAAGGGGAACACCTAATTGGTTATGGCTATTATGACAAGGTTTTTGTTTGTTATTATTGATAACTTTTCTTTTAGAAACCTTGGCAGCTCCAGTAGCTTTCTTGTCTTTATATGGCTGAGATGCTACGGTAGTAATCATGCTAACACTTAGAGGGCTCTCTCTGTACCAGCTGAATGCCTCTCATGACCTTTCTCATTCAATCCTTACAACAATCCTCTGAAGTAGGTGCTGCTATTTCTCCTGCTTACACCACATGTGACCTCTCTCAGAATGGTGGGGCACCTGCCCAGGTCAACCGGATGAAATGTGGTAGGCAGTTGCCATCAAGTGGATTCTGAGTCATGGCAACACTATGAGTCTCAGAGTCGGACTTCACTCCATTGGGCTTTCAGTGACTATAATCGTACAGACAGAGATCACCAGGTCTTTCTGCAGCAACGCTGCTTGATGGTTTTGAACTGCCAGCCTTTCAGTTAAGTTGTTGTTGTTAAGTGCTATTGAATTGACTACAACTCATAGTAGCCCTATGAACAATAGATATGAACCTGGCTGGACCTATGAGCTCACTGTTAAAGTCACTACGCCAATCCATCTCTTTGAGGGTCATCCCCTCCTTCATCGGCCCTCCTCTTTTCCAAGCATGAAGTCCTTTTCCAAGGATGGGTCCTCCTAACAACATGCCCAAAGTATGTGAGATGAAATTTCACCATCCTTGCTAATTATAGTTGTTGTGTACCATCGAGTGGGAACTGACCCATAGCTGACCCTCCAGTGGGTTTTCATAATCAGTTAATCTCATGAGAGGAGATTGCCCATCCTTCTCATGTGTAACAACCTAGTGGCCTTGAACCATGTGCCTTCAGGACTGCAGCTCAGCTTCCTGACTTGTACCACCTAAGGGCTTCTAGATTTGCAGAGCTGGGATCAAAACAAAGTCTGCAACCAACAATTACATCATAGAAAACTAACTTCTACAAAGTCACCGTTGTCACGGTCTTTATGTTTGGTTGGTCGCTTTATGAACTGTGTTGTTTTTAGGTGCCATCAAGTTGACTGCAACTCCTAGCGACCCTATGAACAAAAGATCTGAACCCTGTTCTATCCTGTGCCATCCTCACAGTTCCTGACACACAAGAGCCCATTGCAGCAGTCACCCTGTCAAGCCACCTGGTTGAGGGTCTTCTTCTGCTAATCAAGTAATAAACCCAACTGTTTGAGTAGATTCCAGTGAATAGTGACCCTAGAGTACAGAGTGGGATTGCTGAGTAAGGCTGCCACTGCTGTAAATCTTTTCAGGAATCTGGCACCTTTTTATCCCCAAGGGCTGCTGGTGGGTTCAAACCTGTCAACTTTTGTTCAGCAGCTGAGCACGTTATCCATTGCACCACCCGAGATCCTCACTAAGAAATACATGAACGTAAGCATATTAAGAAGTTTTGAGAGAAAGTGAAAGTATCTTTCACTGTGTTCTAAAAAATCTCACCTGACTGTCCTCAAGTTGATTTCACCTCGTAGTGACCCTCCATCAGACTCTAAAACGGTAAACTTTTATGGGAAGAGTCTGCTCATTTTTCTCTGCAGAAATAGCTCTTGGATTTGAACCAAGGAGGAAATGAAGCATTTTGATTAGCAGTGCAACATGCCCCATTTTAATTCTCACACACTGAAATCTGGATTCAAAGAAGAAAAGCCTCGAAAGCTTCATTCTCGCTCTTTCTTCTCTCTCCTCTCTCCGACCCTCTGTGTGAGTGTATGTTCCATGATAGTGCTCATGACTTGAATTTGTGTGTATACCTGCTTAAAACATTTAAATTCATTGTAGTGTTTCCTTTGAAAGTGCAAAGCTGCTTAAGGTCCTTCTAAGGAGCTCTGATGACCTAGTGGTAAAAAGCTGTGTTGCAATCCCAAAGGCACAGGGTTTCAATCCACCAGCTGGAAGAAAACCAGGCAGTATCCTGGTGATTTACTGCCTCTGAAGATTAGATTGAGGGTCAGATATGGGTTGGTTCTGACTCTGCAGTACACAACAACAAGTTCATTCTGGTCCTGAGTTACCCTCTTATATAGATAGAAAGTCAGTTGAAGTTGTTCTTTTCATTTACACAAATTTTGTTTTCTATCTACTTCTAGTCCTTGTGTGTATACACACATTTATGCACTCATTTTCTATATTTGGCTTGCCTAACTTTAGATATGGTATTCTATTCTATTCTATTCTATTCTATTCTATTCTATTCTATTCTATTCTATTCTATTCTGTTCTATTCAACTGTGATAGTGAAAAATGGGAAACTTTCCTTTCGCTATGGAGGCAACAATTTATCGTTGTATCTTTGCTGGATAATGTCTGTGCAAGCTCTCTGTTATTTTATTGCATTTGTACTTGCCAGTTGTGTTTGATTACATAAAAACTGTGAGGCCTGATACTGTTGGCAATAATAAGCACACTTAAAGCCAGGTCTCTTTTGTTTCAATCAGAGGCTCAGTAAATTTTCACTAGTTAATGACTGAAGCTTGTAGGGAAAAGCACAGAAGACCCAGTAGGAAGTGGCAAGAATACATGAGCAAAGAGTGCATGATGAGTTTTTAAGGTGCTTTTACCTTCCTAAGAAAGCAAAGTCCTTAAAAATTTTATTTTTAGGGGAGCTCTGGTGGCCTAGTGGCAAGGAGCTGCAACTACAATCCCAGAGGCAAACGGTTCAAATCCATGCTGTGCCGGGGAAGGAGGGACAATCTCCTCCTGTACCAGTCAGATCTGATTTGACGGTACACGTACACAAAAATAATAAAATAAAATTTTATTCTTTTGTCCAGACTTGTGCGAGCTCATTGTCTAGACGTGTTTTCAGGAATGCACGTTAGCATTAGAGCGAAATGGACAGGAGCATTTTTTTCTGCAGTTAAGCAGACACAGGTCAAACCCCTCCTCTTGTGCAAGTTTCTCTCCCCTTCTGAGTTTATACCTCCTGGTTTGATTCCTAATGCCTGCCTCAAATAATTGTTGTGAAGGTTAAATGAGATTGTGGCCCCAGTCCTGTGCCTAGCATAGAGCAAGAGTTCACGGATGTGAGCTGCCAGTGTGATTATCATTGTCTTCATCGTCATGATCATGAGGGTATGTATTTGGAAGCCCTATGCTTCACTTACTCCTGGGAAAGATCCCTACCACTCAGTCCACACACACAAGAAACACCAACTGGAGGTGTGAGAGTCTGTTGGGAACAGATGCTCAGTATTGGATTTGTATCCCCTAGCCTGTAATTTCACTTGTCATTTAATTTCTTTTTTAAAAAACCTACATGCATTGCTCACATTCCTTTCCACATGTCATTTCAAGCATTTCCTTCTTCTCTTACACGATGTAGAGAAAAAGGAGGCAATGAAGTCTTCTTGCTGCATACAGCAGACCCTGGGATACGTGCCGCCATGCTTATATCCTCCATCCAGAGGCCACATAAGCCTTATACAACCGTGTTAAACATATTCAGAAGAAAATCCAGTCAAATTAAAAATGCGATACAAACATGCTGATACAAACATGCCTGCAAAGTGAAAAAAAAGACCTGTTTCCTTGAGTCAATTAGCATCAGAAGAGAAGTAAATAAAAACCTTCTAAGAAAGGATTACTCCCAATTTATAAAAATAAATCTCCATAGGCATGTTTGCATATCCAGTTGATGCTGCACTTTTCCCCATTTCCCTTTGAGTGATACAGTAGAATGATACCAGAAATGCTAATGGTTCTGTGGTTTTCTTGGGAGATTTGCATACTGTGACTGGTTGAATAAGGGTCTTCACGTTTATTTGATTAAAGTAGATGAAAACAACAAAATGTATACATGTGAATGAGTCTTTTCCCCTTGGATCTGTCACTTATTCCAGGCATGGTCCACTGATCGTTTTAAAAAATCTTTGAACATACACTAAGCAGTAACAAAGATTTATTCTTTGACAGCGGACCTGATATTTCAGAAATTTCCAAAAGTCATCCAGAATCCAACATATTTTAAATGTTTGCAGAAGCAAAGGGAGAAAGATATATGCCACAAGAATCAAGTGGAAGCCAATCTCTGTAAACTTGCACAAAAATCACAATTTAGAAGGAAATGGCTAACAGATTATTTGCAAAACAAACATAAGTAGTATTTGGGTGCAAACTGAAGTGTTTTATGGAACAATAAGCCTATTCCTCTTACATGGCTAGTTTCCTTTTTGGTCAGAGAATTTTCAAAATATCTTTAAAAGTGGCATTATTGCAGTGATATTTTAGCTTCCAAAAGTGGTTCCTTTGAAGGAAGAATACTCCATTCTATGTATACATTTTTTTCTGTTCTAATTCAGTGTTATATTCTTATCATTATGCTTAAGAATGTATAATTTGTGAACTATATAATTTTTAGTTGGTTTGAGAATGCATTTACATTGAGAGCACATCGTTAACTTATGTAACACACAACTATGAACACCAGTATTAGCAGGATTTAACATTTTATGTCATTAGCATCCTGATTTCTCTTTTAAAAGCCTGATTTTTTAATGAATGATAAACTTTCAAGGTATTTCTATAGCTACTGATTGATAATTGCCAGATTTCAATCTGAGATTGAATGTAAAGATGATTAAGCTGATAAAAGACTCAGGCTGAGGTGGTGTTTTATTGCAAGGCACTGCAACAGTTCTCGTCTCAGGTTTGACCCGGTGTCACTGACACTGTATCTCTGTTTTCCAGCAATGGCAAGCCGGCAGGTGGATATTGCAACCCAGGGCTGGTTCATTGGTCTCATGTGTGCTGTTGCTCTGCTCATCTTAATTTTGCTGATTGTTTGCTTCATCAGAAGAAACAAGGGTGGTAAATATCCAGGTAATAAAGAAAGATGATAATTACCTTCTATTGTTGCATATTATCCTCTGAACTGAAAAGAAATCATGATTGTAATCAAGCAAATTGCCCTATGTATCTCATTCCAGAACCATGAAATTTTAAAGTTGGACTTGCTTTCCAAACAAGATTTATCATATATATGTTGTTGTTATTGTTGTGTACCATAAAGTCAGATTAGACCCATAGTTGGCTCTGATCGGGGTTTTCAGAGGTTCTTAATGACACACGAGGAGATTGCCCATCCCTCTCCCACAGAGCATCTGGTGGCCTCTAACTGCGTGCCTTTGGGATTGCATATATATGAAAGAAAGGAAGGAAGGTGAGAAATACACACACACACACACACACACACACACACACGCAATCATGGATGCCTAAATAACACATGAAAGCAATGGGAGGGAACTCTTCTCAGAGGAAGTAATACATGTGTATGAATTGTCCCTTGACATCATGGTTTATACTGTTATTTTCCTTCAGCTTAATAGCTTGTACTATTTCATGATACAATGAATTTCTATCTTTTTAATCTGGTCATTTTCCTTCAGAGACATGAAAAATGTATGAAAAGACATATTTACCATGGTAACATGTACCATTAATATGGTTAATGGATTGTTAAAATGGGAGGCTGGAAGAATCTTGTTGTTAGGTGCCAGTGTCGAGTATGACTCATAGTGACCCTGTGAACAACAGATCTGAACCCTGTCCTCTCCTGTGCCATTCCTACACTTCCTGACACACTAGCCTCCTTTGTGGCAGTCACCATATCAATTCAACTGACTTCTGGGATCTACCACTATAACTATCCACATTCCTCTAGTGTTCATAGGGTTTTCAAAGGTGTGTTATTCAAGAAGTGAATGGCCAATCCTGCTTCCTAGTCTATCTTAATCTGGAAGCTCTACTAACACCTGTCTACCATAAGTAACCCTTATGGCCTTTGACACACCAGTGACACAGCATCAGTATCACAGCAACCCACAAGTTATCTCAGTACAGCGAACTGACAGACAAGTGCCATATTAATTAGAACAATGTTCTCTCCAAACACAACAATGTTACTGTTAGGAAAAATCTTAGAAACTTGAAAATATTGCCTTCTTAAGAAATACATGCTGACATGGTTTTTAAAAACTCAAGTTGATGTGTTAATAGATGTCAGAATGTTTCAAAGTAGCAAAAGCATCAAAATATATTCTTGGGTACATAACACAAACCAGACAAAAGTTTGACAGTTCAAACCTACCAATTGCTCAGCAAAAGGAGAAAGGTATGGTGATTGGTGTCCATAAAGTCATATTGCTGTGGGAACCCTTTGGTTGGTTCTATTTTGTCTTGCATAATCATGTTTACTCAGCATACACTTGGCAACAGTGGGTTTGATTTAGGTGTCAATATCATTATTAAACACAAGCTTTGCATAGAATTTTTCTCCACTGCTATGTATCTCCAAGACTTGAAAACCTTTGAACAAGGATGCAAAGGGTCAAAAGATAACAAGTTATTTTGAAAATTTTAGTGAAAGAAAAAGAAGACGCTCACGCTGACCCCGAAATCCAGCCTATGAAGGAAGATGATGGAACTTTCGGAGAATACAGGTTAGCTTCCGCTTCTCTTTTGCTCTTCCTTTTTCAACTAGGTAAGACACAACATTCAGATGTTGTCTATACAATCAGCCTTGGCCAAGTTCCTACTCTGCCCAACATGTGACACTCACCTCAGTCATAAATTTAATTCAGAAACTCTTGGTTGTCTAAAGGTTTACACACTCCTCAGAGTTCAAAAATCCTCGCTTGTTATGAAGACGTAAGATTCCCATCTTAGTCACAGTCTTGGAAAAGCATTTTCCACACTGACATATTTCCCAGGGGTTCTTGCTGTATTGATCAACTTAGCACAGCTGGTTATAAAAATGAAATAACATTAAAGACCCCATGAAATCTGCTGCATGGTGAAGGAGACCTTACCTGTCCTTTCTAAGGCATTCCTTCAGACAGTATTACTCGAACTAATCTTACCTTTGAAGATAGTTTTCCTTAAAACAAATGCCCATACCCCCTGCCCATTACTTATTAAATGATGACTAGCTGTATGCTGTTGTTGTTATTGTTGCTGTTGTTGTTGATTGCCTTCAAGTCGAGCACAATTCATAGTGACCCTATGAACAAAAGGCCTGAAGCCTCTACAATTAAGACATTTCCCAAAGTTCATAGAGTTTCTGGAAGCATGTTATTTAGGAAGTAGATGCCACTCCTGCTTCCAAACCTGTCGTAGATTGTTATTGATTGAGTCACCTGCAATGCATAGGGACCCTATGTACAGCAACTCTGAACCCTTCCCTGTCCTGAGCCAGTCTTACTGATTCCGACACACCAAACCCCGGTTGCCCCAGTTACTGTATCAATCCATCTCATCTGGAGTATTCCTCTTCTGCGCTATCCTTCCACCCTTCCGAGCATGATGTCCTTCTCCAAAGACCAATCTCTCCTGGCCACACGCCCAAAGTAAGTGTTAATTATTAGCAAATATCACAGCCATCTAGGCTCATGGAACTTTGACAGTATAGACTTGACTTGGCTCTGTCATTAAGGAAATATTTTATATCCTCAGTGCTAAAAAGGAGTCATCATGGTGCAGTTAGTTGTTAAAGATAAACACTGTCATCTAAAAAAGTCAGCGATTTGCCCCACTCCCAGTCACTTGAGGGAAGAAAGATGAGACACACTGCTCCCATAAGAGTACTGCTTAGAAAAAGAAAAAAAAGAGTACTGCTTAGGAAGCTCCACGGACTGTTTTACTCTTGTCCTGTTGGGTCACTGTAACTCAGAAGCTACTAAAAAACAATAGGTTCTGTATGATAAATAGTAAGACAAACAAAGAAAACCTCTAAAAATATTCTTACCTAAGTGGTGTAGGTCTTTTACAAAGGAGATAAATGATTATTTTAGGTTTGTTTAAGCACAAAACCAAAATATTTCTTTATTTATTTGAAAGATTGGATGTGGGTGTTCCAAAAGATTCTTCTACTTACAAAATGCTTTCACATTAGCAATCTTAATTATTTTTTCCTTTTTATAAACCTCATTTATAAAATTATTATAGTTCATAATCTTTTTAAATATTGAGTCTGTGTCAAAAGAGGCTTTCTTTTTTTTATTTATTCTCTTTTATTCCCAGGAAAAATATACGATTTAGGTAAAATAATATATCTTACTATCGTGATTGCCAGATAACACTTAGAGGTAATAAATTATTTGTGTCCATTTCTGTCTGTCTCCAGAGTTCATTTTTGGTATTTTTTTTCTTCAGTATCATGAAAGATGAAGTATGTCCAAAATGAAAAATAGATAACTGATTGAGGAAATACTACAATTATTGTAGTCCACAAAATTGGAGTCAAACCAGTTTCCACACATACCTAAATGTTGTGCTTTGTTGTCTCAGCTGCTAAATTTTCATATTCTGACTTTGACTTCAGCAGAGGTGACTGTCGCTCCTAAGAATTCTCAGAATTTCTGTATCTCATGATACAGAAAGATAATTAATTAGCATTTGTCTTGATGTCATATGTTGACTCTGAGACATAAAGTATATGAAAATTTCCTGCAGTCTCACACCCCAGTCACCCAAAACTTTACCACAGCTGGTTGAAGATACCCAGGGGAGGGCATCCATGTCTTAAATTAGATGAGTAGAAATCTTTATGGGTTTAATTTCTTGTTCCAGACATTTCTCTTCTAAAGCAAATTAGCTGAGAATTATTATATATATAACTTCTTATTTTTAGTTTCTATAGATAAAAGATGATACAGGATTTGTATACCACTCGCTATACTGAATTTTTATTATAGCCTAGAAAAGTATTTTTGATGTACTGATACATCGTCTGATGGAGTGCCTTCACCTCCGTTTCATGTTTAATTGTGTCAGGCAATTGATGTCTCATTTTGTCTCAAACATCAGCTTTCTAGTATAGCATATGAAGCCACGATCTCACGTAAACCTAACTAACTTAGATTAACTATGCTACCCACTTCATTAAGCATGAGTAGAACCTGAACCAGCTTGGATTTAAGAGACATAATTTTACTTTGAACACAGCCATCACTGATTCCTTTAGCTATAACCCTAAATTTCTCTAGATATGCACTTTTTTAATCTACAAAATGAGCCAGTTGTCCATGTATTGGATGGAAGGTTTATTTTCTAGCACTGTAATTTCTGTGGCCTTCTGCAACCTCTTTACTAACAAATTTTAGTAGGATTTTTGGGGTCCAAGGACACTACATAGCAAGCAGATGGTCATTGGCTTCAAGATCACGCTCTACATCTTATTTGGTCATTTTTTTTCTGTATTGGTGTTAATTCATCTATCATGTGTTTGCTGTCTTTATCTTATGCCTTGGTTTCTCAGGAGTAGAACAGTTTGTTAATGCGGGTACATACTTGGAATTTGTGTGTGAGGCGAACACTTATCACATTTGGGATTAACATTGTTTTGGGAAAGTGTCAGCAGAAATAAGGTTCTGCTGTTGTCTTAAAATTGAAACACAACTCGGTCACTTTTTATTAAATGAAGTTCAAGAATCCTAAGGATAATTTCACAAGTGGGCTTAATTCCTCAAATTCCCAGCCTTCCTTCATTACTTATATGGCTCTGTCCTGTGAATTCCTAACACCTGAGAAGGTTTTCTCTTTCGTTTCTTTCCCACTTGAAAAATTCAGGAGATTTTTTCATTTCTAAAATTCCTCAACTAGTGAAAACAGTTCCAACTGTCTATTGCAACAACCCCTACCTCTTTTTTATAATACATCCACATGTCATTACCTTCCCTAAATCGTGAAGGTCCCATCTCTGCATTGTACCTTCTGGAAGTTTTGAGTTCTGCATTATTTATTGATTCTCATGCTTTTTCATCTCAAAAACTAAATTAATATGCTAATCGCACCCAGCAGACATACACACAATTAGGGGTTTTGTAAATGTAAATGAGTTCTATTTATGATTTGCTCATAAACATTCCAGTTCTCCCTGGTTGGCACTATGCCAGAGAATGTTTCCATAGCGCAAAGAGAGATGGAATCTCAATGGCCAAATGATTTTGGGGGTTTGTGTTTCGTTTTTTGGTTTTTGCATATACCATAGCCCTGTGCCCTTGCTCCATCAGCCATCCCTAAGTGTTTATCCTAATTTGGAAGCCTGCAGCTTGCTTTGTCTGTTCCTTTAATTATACAGACAGTAGACTCTGCATCCTTGCTAACATATAGAAAAATCAGAGAAACAATACAACCAACGGTGTAAGTATTGCCTTATTCTTTAGATCTATTCTTTTCAAAATCAGAATGAACAACCATATGCCCATGATACTTGAACTCATATTTACTGCATACATGGAGGCTCTTGTCATGAGAGTCCTGCCATCCATATGAATGTGGTCTTGTTATGTATGCATGCTGACCCATGCTCATAAAGCATGAATGATGCTATGATGTGTCACATGTGGTCTGTACTTCAGATTTATCCTGCTTAAAAAACATGAAATGGCTTATGAGCAGAATAAATAAAAACGGTGTTTTAGAGAAAGGGTTCAGAAAGTGTTTGGGTCATGAATGTCAATAAAACTGAAGCACAGATGGGCCAACATAGGATGATGTCTACAAAAAAAAATCTGATAAGGATTAGCAAACTTTACCCACCATTACAATATTTTCTATATAAATAACACTGAATCAATTGTTCTTGAAAAATAGATCAAATGCCCCATAATGTGTTCTTGAGTTGACAATACATGACATCATAAAAGTAGTTAAGAAGAAACTCAGAAGAGTGTGAGTGTGTGTGTGTGTGTGTGTGTGTGTGTGTGTGTGTGTTTTAGAAATCTCAGGCATTTCAGAAACACTCACAGTCTATAGCATTGCTAGTTCACAGTGAATTTATTCAACCAGATTTGTTGAATGCCTACTGCACGCCAGGCCCTGGGCATGTAAAAACAAACAGAACACAGTCCCTGTTGGGATTTTGTAGTCTAGCAAGGGATACAGCAGAGGAAAGAACAATTTAAGCTTCATGTTAAAAGCACAGTTAAAGGGATTCAACTAAGATGGCAGTTGAATGAGATCCAGAAGCGAAAGGCCCGTGGACAGTGGAAGAAGGCTAGTTCAAGATATCTTTCCAGAGGAAAAAAGGGACTCAGGAGCTGAGTTTCATACTTTAATGTGAACATATCTTTTTAGTGCTCAGACCTCTTTTACAATCAATTTAATAATATGCTGTCAGATTCTCTCTTATTTACTTTGATCATTAATTAAGCTGAAATGGAAGCTTCTAGTAAGCCTTTTCTTTACTGGCCATTGTTCATGACTGTTATGATTGTGTATGTAAAAGTCTGTGAGAACCCACATGCAAAAATCATCATTCATAAGAGATGTTGGTAATGTTGCTTAACAACAACTATATATCTATCTCTATCTCTATCTCTATCTCTATCTCTATATCTAGTGCATGTCTATGTACCTGAAAACAATTGAAAGATAACTTTGTAATGATTTCCATTATAATAGCATAAAAATGTGCTATGGGAGTAAAGTCGACACAAGG